ACTACAAATGAAATAACTTTATATTTTGCATTTCATGTAACGATCGATGGTACTCAAATTTGTATTTAGAAAGAGCGTTTAAACCCCTTTTGCTTACAGCACAAAATTCTTCTCCAATTTCTACGAAAGCACACTGTTGCAGATGTAATTGACGCACCCAACGTGTTATATCATAGCTTGGTGAACTGTCCAGGGCTTTGGACACGGATAGAAATGGCTCCCAATTATTACTTTCCGCGTGTAATCCATCAATAATACAATGAGCCTTTCCATAAGAGAAAACTAATGCTATTAATATAAACATAGGTATAAACATAGCCTAAGTGTTGACATTATAGATCAATAATGGTACAAATTACGGAGATAAACGAAGATGTAGTAATTTGAAGTTGCCTAGCTTTTACCACTTTTTAGGCTACCTAAGTATTATTTTCATTGTTTTTCTAAACAATAATAGATTTTATACATTTATAATACTTAGATATAACAAACAAATTACTAACACTTGAGAAAAAGATAATAAAACAATAACTTTAATAAAATTAGTTTAGAAAATTGTTAATTTGTATAAACATTCATAGTTTACTTACATACTTTTTACTACTTACAATACTAACACTCTGTTTAACATAATGTACACAGTGTTTAAATAACTGAAAGAAATAACCTGTCCTTATTTGATACAAGACATGCTTTTAAATGTGACCATGTGTCACAATTTATTTCTGCTATTTTAAGAGATACATTTTTAAGTTACACTGTCGAACTTAAAACATCTATTTGGAAGAGGATCAAAATTGCTATAAGTAATTTTAATCAGAAAAGTATTTTAGGAATGTAAAATATATCATACTAATCATGCTGTATTTAATATATAACTACTGGCATAGTACTGCTATGTACATTATTTATTTTTGTTTCAAGTATAAAAATTAAACTTTACACTTTATGTATATAGGTATATTTACTATATATCTTATAAAATATACAACTTTTTTTCTCATGGTCCATTTATTAATGGATTATTAATGTATATTATGCAGGATTTTTTTCAAGATATGTTTTTGTTACAAAGTCTACACGTAGGTCTTGAAGTTTTACAAACTCTGTACTTTTACAGCCTATCACAGGACACCTGTAAGTGTAAAACCATGAGTAAAATCATAAATTAGATATCATAGAAAAATAAAGCTGTTTGTTTAAACATTTACCTGGTTTTCTTATTTATTTTTAATATTTGTGTAATACTTTCTCTATCATAAGTATGTCCACATACATTATTTTTTACAGGATCTACAATCCTCTTTTTAGAAATTGGATCAATTACATTTATGTAGCCCCCAGTTAACTGCATTTCTTCGTCTTCATTATCTTCATCGTCTCCTATTTTATCTAAACATGTATGAATATTTAGCGTGTATAATTAGTTATAGAAAATAAAATAAATGTAATTGTTTTTAATGTAATTTATTATTTACCTAATAATGCTTCTACTTGTCTATCAAAATTTATCAATCTATTGTCATCTGACATATCAGTATTAATCTCAGTTATAAAAGTCTTATATTCCTGTAATATTATAGAACAAAAATATATGTAATTTTTGTTGTATCTCTAGGTTAATACAATGTGATATTTACTTGTACAATGGTTTCAATATCAGCCTCAGTACTTTCATCATCATATGAGTTTAATAAATTATTTTTTGTGTTTTCCAGTGCTTTCAGCTTCTTGTCTATAATACAGTTATTTTTTACAATATCTCTCATCTCTTGTAGTTTTTCCTTTAGCTCATTCCCTCCTATCGTAATAAAAATAACTTTCACAACTTAAAGTACTATTCAAACTTTAGTACTAATTTGACTTTTGCATTCATTTAGTTTGCAATTTTTACAGAACTGATCATGACATATAGTGGATAGTTAACCTCGCAAATACTTACCATAGTAAGAAATTAAATTAGCAGCTGTTTTTATATAGCAATCATGCAATTCTTCTATCACTTGTTGTGACTGTGTCATTTTGAAAATCAGAAGCTGACAAAATCTTAATTTAATATCATCATTTTTATGTTTATTTTTCAGAAATATTTAGTACTATATTGGTATATTTAATACTATACTGCCTAGGTACTTATATTGGTATTTTCTACAAATAAAACAATATTTTTTAAACATAATTACAATAATTTAGAGGAATTCATTTGTTCGAAATTGTGTATTTATATCCCACCTTTTTAAAATTTTATACATAACAACACAATCAGAGAATTAAGATTCACGACAAATGTCTCGCAGTGACAATCTAAGTTTGAAATACTGGTAACAACACAGGCAAGCTGTAGCATAAACATCATGCAATGTAAAATTTTGTCACACACTCTCAGAAGTCTCAGAACCCTTTACCATTTTTATGTCACGCCCTGTCTTATCGACTTTGGCTGATTTTGCATGGCAGCGCTATAAGTGAGAGGTGTTTATGTACGCAACTTATTCTCTTCGCGCTAGTAACTCGAAAACAGTATAGGGTGGATCTACCAAAAGGAACTAGGTAAAATAAAACTGTGTTACGTGTCTCACGTATTGTCGGTTCGATGGCGCTGGGTAGAGAGAGAATTTCTCAACTCAGTCGGAAGTTGGCGTGCTCGTCGCAAGTCCCACTCTGCTGCCATCCGGTCTGGAGGTACGTAGCCCCTACACACTTTTGCCTCACTACACTTACTTTAGTAGCTGCCAACTGCTACTTTTCGAGAGGAGTATGTCACTAGATGCCCGCAGTCATCGATTTGGCCACTCTTAGCTTATGGTAATTTTTATTTAAGGTGTCGGAGATCTTAACAAGACCTTTATACCGCTCGACTTTACTGATAGTACACAATTTTAGGCTTGTTAGCAAGAATCGAAGTAGCTACTCAAATATACTTCATTTTGACTACGAGTGTGTCACGTAATTTGGCAGCAACAAATGTAAAGGCGCGTACATTTAAAGTTATTATTTTGATTAACTATACAGTTGTAGAAAATTCTTCGATAAATTATATATATATATAGTTTTTATTTTAATAACTGAAATTTTGACAAATAAAATTGAAGTTCAATATACATTTTTATGTAAACTACAATATTTATAACAAAACTGTTAAGCATTCAAGATAAAAATGTATAATACTCTTTTAGGTATTATTTAGAACCTAGATATAATGATTTTGCTTAAGTCTATGCCGATAAATACAAATGAATAAATAAAAAACGCGTTCTTTTTTATTTTTTTGTCTCAGTATTACGTTTTTGTATATTCTCGTCATTTCTTATGAACATTTACCGGAATATTAAACAGAATTTATAATTTTAAAGTACAATACAATAGGAATACTAAGAATGTACATAATTTACTTGCATACTATAATCAGCGAAGTTCTTATCGTTTCTCGAAAAATTAATTTTTATATTTGGAAAAACCAGAGCAGTCGGCCCATAGAAATTTAGGAAATTATTTTTCATGAAATTTTTAATCACTAACCTGTAAAGTGTATATTTCGTAACGTGAGTGAATACCGTTTAACAGATCTTTTTGCCTTCGAGCTGGAAAAGTTAGCGATTTCCGTTTATTTTAATTATGTGGAATAGTGAACACATTGAAAAGTACGCAAGTTAAACAACTGCCTTTGTCATCCATAAAAACGTAAATATTGTCTAAATACTTAGCTGCACATAATACCTGCGTATTTCACATTTAAATTACAAAATTATTGCAGTCAATTAGCCTAACATAATTCTTTATAGAAAATATTCTACTCAGGATAATGTTAGTTGCCCAGGTCTCACCATGTGGAGGTTGCTGCGAGTGGAGATCGCTGAAGGTGGACGGAAATTCAATTTCACCGACCTCCATTTTTAATTATAAATATTTTCTTCAGCGCACTTATTTTTAGCGCACTTTAATAATAATTCTACGGTGGCTGTTTTCTTTCTTGAGTCTGAAATTAAGTATCCCACGGCGGATGATCGATGTCTTCTTTTGCAAGCTTATTACTAACGCATTTACTACTAACGCACTTAATAATAATACCACAACGGCTGTTTTCTTTCTTGAGTCTAAAATTGAAGAATCCTACGGCGGATGATCGATGTCTTCTTTCGCACGTTTATTTCTAACTTAGTTTAGCCTTAACGGATAACTTAAACTATTCAATCATCGCAGTAAAGGGAGAAAAAGTCTCTGATTCGACAAGTGCAAGATGAGGGATTACAATCTTAATTCTAACTCACTATAGCCTTAGAAAACTATACATGGGTCGCAGTTGCCGAACAATTATCGGGCCAAAAATCGAAGGACATAGATACGAAGCAAGAAAAAAGTCCTTGATTTGTTTTAAATTAAAGAAATCAGAGAAGAAGTCTCTGATTAAAAAGCAGGAAAATGAGGGTGACGCGAGCAATCCGTTGTGAAACCAGTCAGATCCACCGCGTTGAATCACGATGCCCTCGCCTACGGATCAGAGGATGGTCACGGGCCAGTGCCAGATTCCCATTAACTTCAGAATTCGTACGAATTCGAAGTAGGATTCCGACACTGACTGCTGTGATGGACGGTGGCGTGAGCACCACCGCCCTAGGGTGCGCACCACCGGTAACCTTTCAGCTTAGACACCGATCTCAAGCACGTTGAGATATAAAGAAAGAATGATACTTGAGCAACATTTTAATTAGAATAAATCAAATCTGAATAAATGAGAAATATTTCAAAACCTTCAGGCGACACCTTTATCAAAGCAAATATTTTTAAAACGGAAGAGAAAGTATTTCATCATTGTTACTTCGATGAAGGTGTCTACCTGTCGCGAACTGTTTTCTTGTACATTATTCTAGTATTACATTCACGCAATTAGACAAACTTCAATGCGAACAAATGGTAACATTAATCATTAATCATTAGAATTTTAATTCAAGTTTGAGAATAAAAAACCAGAGACAAAATATGACATTTGTAGAATCAATATATCAATATATTTTCATTTACTTTTCTTTACATTTATATCAAATAATTATAAACGAAACTATACAACTTCTTTTTGCAATTCAATAATAATTTACATTAATGCAAATTACATAATTAATTTTAAACGCGACGTACAAGAAAACCCTATCCTATCTAACAAATACACAAAGAAATGTCACTACTAGTTCACTGTACTCGCAAAATCAAAAACTACTAAAATAGTACTACCAGTCACCGGTGCCATTGCGGACCTTTTGCTCTATGACATGATCGGTAACCGGAGTAAAAGAAAGCATGCGACTCGCCGATCGTTGCCACAATCCACACAGAACTCCGAACAAATTGAGATGTATGGTTTATCCTGGATGACCACTGATCAGCATTCCTCAGAATCCCTCAGCATCCCTCAGCATCCCTCAGCATCGTTCAACATCGTTCAACATCGTTCAACATCGTTCAACATCGTTCAACATCGTTCAACATCCTTCAACATCCTTCAACATCCTTCAACATCCTTCAACATCCTTCAAAATCCTTCAACATCCTTCAAAATCCTTCAACATCCTTCAACATCCTTCAACATCCTTCAACATCCTTCAACATCCTTCAACAT